CCTTTCCCTTGGAATTGCTTTCCGACGGTATTGTTGAAGGGTTGCGACCCAAACTTCCTTGGTCCTTTGCTCTCCCTAGGCTCGAACTTCTTGGTAGGGACGGTGATTGCCGGCTTTTCTTGTTTATTCCGTTTGGCAAAACTTTCTTTTTCGTCTTCTACCTCCATCCAGTTGTTTGCGCGGAAGAGTGCATCCTGAATTGTGTCTGGTTTATGAAGTATTAAGTCTTTTTTAAACCTTGAATCATGTCGCAATCCTTTTCGTAGGGCAGATAAAGCTGATTGCTGTGAGATTCTTGGGAGCTTTGACAGCACTCCTTTGAATTTGGTGATGAAAACTCGAAGTGACTCATTAGATCCTTGCGTTAAGTTCCAAAGATCGGCATCCGAAACGCTTTTATCCATAAGGATAGAGTATTGCTTTAAGAACACGGCTGATAGTTCGTCGAAATTGCTGATCGGACCCGGCTCTAATTGGGTGAACCACATTAGAGCTTGGCCACATAGATTCTCCGAAAACAGCTATGTTTCCTCAAATAATCCATAGTTACTAATTAGACTAGAGATGTTTTCAGACAATAATTAGACATGATAAAATTTTGTTTTATATCCTCCAAAATTCGAAAACATAATCAAAATGTGAATAAGAATAATGCTTGCATGAGGAAAGTCTCAAGGAAAAAAAAAAGAAAAGGAAAGTCTCAAGTGAATCCATTGGTTTATAGAATGAGAGTACTTAAGGATAAAAGCATTGATACGTGTGTTGTGTATAAATAATGGTCCTCATCATTTATCGTCCTCCCTTTTTCAATCTCTATTCCTTTTCGCAGTTCCTGCTTCTTCTTCGTGAAAAGCCCACTCGAGTACTTGAAAGAGTTTAGACACTCAAAACTCAACTGTCACAGTCTCCAAGCTTATTCAAGCCTTTTTTTGGTTTCTTTTCAGCTTTTTTGTCTGACTTGTAATAAGCATTTTATATAAACAATTTACTCCAACATCTCTTCCCTTTTTCTCGTTCCTTTCCATTCACATATCTCTCTCCGACCCCATCTTGGCTTTTTCCTCTCTCTATCTCCTGAGTTTTACTTCTGCCTTTTTTTCCCTTGTCGAGAGAGTTATTGTCACATTACAAGTTCTGGTACCAAGACTACGTGGAGTTTTCTCCATCACACTCATGTTTCGAAGAATTCATGTTTTAGCTAGGAGGTTTAAAAACACCCTTACAACATATATTTGGATTGGCCTGCCTACTTGGTAATGTGTGGATTAGATCATGAAAGTGAGATATGCTGCAGTGATTCCGGATCTACGGCTTGATATGATAATGGCTGCCGTTACCAGATAAAGAAAATGAAGCGAGTGATTTGACAAGACAGAGACTATAGACAAAGACAAGACTGTGTCTTCTTCATAAGTAAAAATAACTCTCTTTGTCTCCTTTCTCTCTTTTAGATCTTTCTTCTGCAAAACTGTTATCACTTCCAATTCTGATTCTCTGCTCTGCTCTGCCACTACACAGCTATGTGATCTGAACAACTCAGGAACCTTGAGATAGCATAACATTGAATTGAATTCTCAAAGAATAACATTGAAAAATGGGTTATAGGAAGAAGACGATAAGGAACTTTCTCTCTTTCGATTAATTAATCAATCGGTGTTGTTGTAAATGTTGACATCACAAAACTAAAATGTAAAGAATCGAAGAAACAAAAGCTATTTTAACAAACAACCTAGCAGGAAAGGCAAGAGAATCCGAGAAAGAACAAAATCAAAAAAAGGTTACTTATTCATAGGAGGAAGTTCTCTAAATTCTTGCCTTTGGTAATCAATCTTTGTGTGGCTTTGCTTCTCGTGTTTCTGCCAAAAAATTCCATGCTTTTGGCCCAGCTTTTCATTAAGACAAGAGTCAGTTATGCTGTGTACGATTTTGGTAACAGCAAAAGAGACTACTTGCCTGTGTATCCATAAGGGAGAAAATATAAAACATATATATAGGGAGGAAGAAGAAGAAGAAGCTTGGTATGTGTTCGGTGTTCTCATTTGCTTCGTTTCTTGGCTTCGCTGTAGAGGATAACTCCACAGACGGTGAGGGAGTAACCCAGCATTCCGGTCACTGAAACCGGGTTCTTGAAGATTAGAATAGAGACCACCACCGCTACTGCTCCTTTGGCGTTTCCTAGCACCTGTCACAGAGCAATCCAAAAATCGGGTTTTATAAGTTTATGTGAATAACATCTCAAAATTTCGTTTTGAAACGCAGGGAACATAAATCATTATCATACACATAAAAAAGCAAACCCAACTCAACATCCAAGAAACATGACAGGATCTCACTAACAGGAGGACCAATCAGATAATCAATTCTCACTAGTTCTACACTTCCTTGGACTAACTTTGTTCCAACTCCAACCAAAACCCATATCATTTTTTCTACCATAAACAAGGATGCCACTAATAATGTAAAAAGAGTGTGAATTGTAGTCACCTGTAAAGTCAGGGCGCTAGTGTGTTTCGTGACTAAGAAATTTGTCAAGTTGACGAAATAGGCGAGCGCTGAATTGAAAAGAAGATACCAAACGATTCTGAAATCATCTCTTGCAAGAGCAATTGTAATGCCGACAACATTTTTCTCCATGATAAGAGTAGCAGGCAGAAGGAACACGACAGCTATTGGAGCCATGTAAAGGAGGAGATTCATGGAGTTCAGCTTTTCCCTTCAATTCAATTTATAATCTTTTCAGCAATACTCATAAACATACTTGAACTATTGATATATAGACCTCTAACAAAGGCCACTGAGCAATACCAGCCATTTCTTACCCTTCAGAAGAAAGCAAAATTCCTTGAAGCACAGATTTAAGTGCTCTCGCAGCTGTGGCTGCAATGCACATAAGGAATCCAAACAGGTGAAAGCTTGGCTCACCCTGAAAACACCCAGAAATTAAAGAATATCAAACAAAGAATCAAACACAGATAATAAATGTAAACGAGGCTCTCACTGAAATAAAGAAGATTCCAAAGGAGCAAACACAGAAACAGAACAACATCTCCGTTACACGAACTTTTTTTAGCAACATGGTTAAGAAAGGATGAGGGAAACACAAAACTAAGCGAATACGAGCACAGAAGAATGCCAAATCTTTTCTAATGTGAAACATAATTCAACAATGTCTGAGCTTGTTCCAAAGATAAAAGCTAATATCATTAAATGAAACTGAATCAACCATATTCAGCTCATAATATCTAGTTCCTTGCTCTAAACTATACCTATGATGGCAACATATGAATCGAAATAAACCAGATTTAGCTCTAATTCATGCTACTGCTTCACATGTATATCAACCTCTCTAAGAATTCGTCAAAGTGCATAGATAAAGGATTCAAATTTAAGAGTTGAGAGTTGAAATTACCCCACTGGCAATAACAACTCCGGTGACGACAGGGACGAGAGTGAAGTAAGTCAACCAAGCCTCTTTCTTAAGCGTCATCAGATAAGCAAACACAGCGGTGAAAAACGGCGTCGTAGCACCAATGGCTTGGTTAAACGAAACAGGAAGAAAGCGAAGAGAGATGTTACCAAAGACCACCGACACACAAAAAACGAGACTTAGAGCTGAGATCTTAAAGAACTGAACTCGGGATCGAATCGTCTGCATCGGAACCATCTTTAACCAAGCAATGGCGACGTAGCTGAGTAACGAACAAGCCGTCATGTGACACATGGTGAGAAAGATCGGGTACTTGAATCCGTAATTGCTAAGCAAGTACTTGTTCAGCAACAATACTCCAATGTTCGATGAGTACCATGACGTCACTAGCCCGATTGTGAAAAACCGGCCATTCGTCGCCATCTTCATCGCTTTCTTCTTCCTGTGTCGACTCGATCTGATGACTGATGAGATTTAATCTAAAACCCTAGCGAATTTCAAGAAATTGGGATTGGTGGGAATCGAATCTGGACAGGAGATGGAGATCTCTCGGTCCTCCGACACAGAATTTGGCGCGTCCTGATGATGTTATTCCATCGATGGGTAAGATTGGATTAGGTTACAACACGCGAAAATGATGGAGACGAAGAAACTGGGAAAGAGAAAGCTGGGATTTTGGAGAAAGACGATGATGAGAAGAAGAAGAAGCTCTGCAAAAAGGAGAGATCTTTGGGCTAAAGCTGCAACAACACCTCTCTCTCACTTCTCTTTCCTTTTTTTTAAGTTAAATGTTTAATACATTTTTTTTAGCAGTACGTTATGTATTTTTATTTTTCTGTTTCTGTAATTTTTAAAGTTTAATTATCCAATTTTAGTTACACTTTTTTTTTTTTTTTTTTTTTTAATGGTTACTTGAAAAATCAAAATGTGGATATGTGTAACAATGAAGGAAAGGAGCCTTTGACTTGTTATTGATTATTACCGAATCTGAGTTCTAATTTACGTTCATATACTAATCCTTGGCTTTGGCAAAAAAAAAAATACTAATCCTTGGCATTTCCTACCTAACGAAACATTTCAGTTTTAAGCATATTTAATTGACTAAGTAATTCGACCACGAATCTAATTAATTAACAAAGCGTTTGGTTAATCGGTCAAGCAGCATCCATTAATTCGTTAGGCAATCGATTTTACATTAATTTTTCTAAAAATACAAAATATTCAGAAAAGCTCATCTAATTAGCACAAGTTTGGCAGAATTATGATGAAGAATAAATTTAGCAAACCTTTGACCAAGTGGGTGTGTTAAGTCTAGTGGTAGAAGACCAATAAAAGCTTTATTAGTGGTGTAGCAAAGGGAAATTATTTATATACAATAGTTTAGAATCGATGCTTGAGTCTTTAGTCAAACAATGGTAGGATCATCTGCATTTTGGCTTGATGTTATTAGCCGTTACAACTTGTGAAGATGAATTATAGAGAGACACATCTCGCAAGTTCATATAACTTGACTTTTTATGAGATATTTATTTACAAGTGCTAGTTCCTTTAGTTGGAAGCTTTGTTTATCATTTTTTTTTTGGCTTTAGAGTTTAGACTATTATCCCTTTGTGAGATTTGACTATACTTGAACACATGATCTTTTGTACTTACATAGGTTTAATGCCACAATTCCAGGAGAACATGGTCATCCCAAGATTCCTAACGCTTATATTGCATTAAGCCTAGTAGCCTACACCGTAAACAAGTTGATATAGGTAATATATCTACAAAATGGATGTTTAATTTGTGATAGATCCATATTTTAAAGCTTTTCAAGCTCAGTTCATGAATTTTCTGCAGTTCTTGGAGTTGCATAAACTAGCGAATTTCGTGGTTACTCATAGCCTGACCATATCTACCGGAAACGAGATGGCTCATGGCTAACATATGTATATCAACACTAACTATAAACATAAGTTCATTTACATCATACTACTTAACCACTTATATATATATATATATATATATATATATATATATATATATATATATATAACAAAAAAACTTGCATATGAATCATTTAAATTCAAATATAAGTTTTTAACCACTCAATTTCATATTACATTAGCCACTTGTAAAACAAAGGAGTTTTATGAGGAATCTCGCCATATCCATAAATACCATCTTTCTTTGTTTCCCACGTACAGTTTCTACATCTAGAAGAATCTCTAACCGCTTTATAAATGTCGAATACACCTTTTTTTACTTGTCCTTGGCTAAATCCACAGAAGTAGAGTGTCGAATTCATAAAATTCACGTAAAATATCCAACCATATAATCCACCTTTTTTAAGGATATGGAAACCATGATCATCATCTCTAGATTTACAATGAACTCCAAGAAGATAGTCATTGTTATTATGAATCACGACCATTGTCAGAGGACCTTTCATTGGAATTACTTTTCCATCATGTTGTAGAGTTTCAGAACCTATCAAAGATATCAAAACAGGGGAGATGATTATAAACATTGAGTAGAAAATTGTTAGGAAAGTAGATGAATTGATCATGACGATTTTGTTAATCATGAGATTGCATTTCCTAGAACTTATAATTTATATATAATGAGATAACTTCACAAAAATATAATTTACATTAATTTATGTCGAATAACCTAAAATAGTCATGAAATCACTAGAAGTATTTGTGTAGTAAATAAGAAAATAAAGTTGCTTTCTGTTATTAAAAAAAAAAGAAGACTAAAAGTTACTTAAATAACCCAAAATATTATAGAAACACATTTTTATCCTTTCTCAGATTTGCTGATTACAAGTTGAGTTCCAAGGCTTTTAAATTTATATAAATACTTAGAACGTAAAATTGTCATCAATTAGGTTAGATATATATACTTAAAGAAGATAGAATTCATATCCCAAAAATTAAATTGACAGTAATGACCAAAAATAGTAGATTTAGAGATGGGTCTGTCTGTCTAGTGTCCCAGGTGAACAAGTGAGAGGAGAGAGTAAATAATTTTGTCTGAGAATCTGACAATCACTTAAGTCCAAAACCCAGTGGCAAACATGTAATTTTACTCTAACGTTTCAACAAGAAATCTCTTTTTTTCTTTCTCTCTCCTTTCTTCTTCAAGCTGCTTCAAAGCATTGATCATCATCATCTTCACAAGTTTCATTTATACGAGGATTCGTCATCTGGGTCTCTACGAATATGGAATCTGTACAGCCACATCTTGAGACCCTTGTCGCTGTTAAAGTAATCCATGGCTCAAGTGGCTGTGGTGATGGCTCTGAAGATGATGGGGAGCTTCGTCGGAGCTCCGGTGCGGTGGAGAATGAGGAAGAGATAGTGAAAGATGAGGAGAGGAGATCCAATGCGTCGGTGTGTTCGGTGGAAGTAGATCTGGAGCTTGGATTGCCTGAGAAAGTTGTACATTTGTCGCAATCTGAGAGAGATTGCAGGATTTGTCACATGAGCTTAGATGCTGCGAATCTTGAATCTGGTGTTCCCATTGAGCTTGGCTGTTCTTGTAAAGCTGATCTTGCTGCTGCTCATAAGCACTGTGCTGAGACTTGGTTCAAGATCAAAGGAAACAAGTAAGTTCAAAGTCCCCAAATTTCAGAGACACCTTTCTTGAGAATGATGGTTTGGTTACTTCCACTAGGAGGACATAAAATCCTAAGCTTTAAGATAGTTTAGGAAAGGCTTAATGGCTAACATTTCCATTGATGTAGGAAAGTTTTTTACTTTCTTTAGGTTACTGTCACTTTTGAACAGCTTTCGTTTCACTGTCTGTTTGATAAGTTTTAGTTTTGAGGCCATTTGTTATCAGTTTAAAGACACGAAGCTTAGGTTTTTTTTTTTTTTTTGCTTTGTGATGAGGTTCTTGATTTGGTTTTGCTGTGCAGAATCTGTGAAGTATGTGGGTCGATTGCGGGTAATGTTGTTGGAAGTGTTGAGGTGGAGACTGAGGAAAGCCGGAATGAAGCAAATGGTGTAGAGAATCTAACTCTGAGAACATCTGGTCCGCGATTGGCGGAAGCTAGAAGCTTCTGGCAAGGACACCGGTTCTTGAATTTCCTTTTAGCTTGTATGGTCTTTGCATTTGTGATCTCATGGCTCTTCCACTTCAATGTTCCCTCTACATAACAATACAAGTAATGCCTCAACTCTCCATAAGAGAGAAATGAAAAGGGTCAAAGCCATTAGAGATCTCTCGGAAAGGTACTTCACTCTTGTACCAATGCCTTTTTTCCACTATTAAGTTTAATGTAAGTTTAGAGATGAAGACCAAGACCTAGAAGAGCGCATAATGCGATTTGCGGGTTTTAATTTCTGTCTAAATGTAAATGTGTTTCATGGTTGCGGTCTTGCGGATAATGTATATAGCTCTAGTCACTCTAAAGCTTAATGCAAATGCAGTCTTGTGAAAGTCTCTTTTCTTACCTCATTGTATTATGAATGAACTGATCACTTGCATTGCATTTTGCATCCCAAGAGTTCAGTGATTTACAGAGGAACCCAAAAACCAAAAATAGAAAATATCCTCTGTTTCCATGTTTCAATAGATTAAAAATTATGTACATAAACCGAAACTCGGGCCATGCTTTTATGTCTCTTCAGTGGCCTCTCATTCATCTTCTTCTTCCATAATTGCTAAGATCTTTGAGGAACTAATCCTCAAAGAAGCGCTTCGGATTTTCATCGGCAGCTTCTCATTATTAGCAGCTAAACCACATTCGATTTCTTCTTCTTCATCATCGTCCTTTTTGAGATCAGAAGGCGGTAAAAAACAATCCATAGACAAACCCTTTATGTTAAAATCCATTTCCTCAATCTCCCAAGTCTCTTCCATCCGAGTCCTCGAGTGATTATCCGAGTTCTCACCAAATCGAAACAGAGACACCGAGCTTTTACCAGCGTGTGCTACCTGGATGCCATCAACGGTCCTGTAATCTTGGATCAAAGACTCCATTGTTGTCTCCCAGAATATACTGTTATCGTCTTGAGCTTTGATTCTTAGAAGGTGAGAGTCTTCAAGTTGAATCAGAAGACCTGTTCTCTGGCTGAAACATCCCCACACTGTGTGCCGGATAATCTCAACATTGCTGCTGCTTCTTGCCTTAAGCGCCGATGGCTCAGCGTCGAGTTTGAGTATGAAACAGTCTTCATCATTTATCTTCTTCTCTCCCATGCATACCGATCTTGCGAATAGATTAGCCGTTGATTTTGGATCAAGACCCTGTTTGATTTTGTTTCAGAGAGTAATGTCAGAACTATTGTAATGATTCCATCTCGTTTCAAATAAGTAAACACAAAAGACTTGAAACAAGTCAACGACAAGTAACTTAATTCACCATTATTACAAATTTTCCCAAAACAAACAAATGTCATTGGTTTGGTGATAATAAAATTAAATAACTATATTTGGTAATGGGAACAAAAGTCTACTTTGTTAAGAAAAATATCTATTTGGAGAAAATCAATTAGCAATATCTTTGTTAACAAATATATCTATTTGGGAACCAACTATGTATATTTATAAGTATATTTTTTTAGTTGTTATTGTTAGTTGTGGGTGGACCATAGATGGTTCCAACTTTCAAGTTCCAAAAACTTTGGTAACTTGTGAGCACTTTCTCCACTTTGAAATGAGAAAATAAGAGCGCAATTCCATGGGACACGTCACACTTTATTTAAGGCCACATCAAAATCTCAAAAGTCATAAGTTTACATTGGAAAATATCAAAATTTTAATTGAGAAAATCAATGGTTTTATCTTAACTTATGTGGAAACCAACAAATTATACGATGAAAATATATATATGGGTGTATGGTTCTCTTGTAGATTTACATTAGAAAAGTTATTCTATTCGCTGTTAATTTTTTCAAATCAAAATCCAAACTAATCAACGAACAATTAATATTATAGGATGACCAATTCCATCGTTGACAAAGTTGAAGGTAGGTTTAGCTAGACAAATCTCTTTTAGGAATAAATGTGGAAAAGAAAAACAAAGAAACGATGAAGAATTAAAAGCAAGAGGAAGTTTGATGATTGAAAGATCTTTTTGCCACCAATCAAGGAAAAGAAAACTTCAACTACTAAGAATCATAAAAATCAGGAATATAGGAAGAATGTATTATTGAACTCCAAGTGGAAAAGCTCAATCATCCAGTGTCATAATGATCAGTGGTTGCATATGCTTTATGAGACATTAAGGATCTTTGTCTTTTCATGAATCAAGTAGAAACTAGAAATGTAGCATAACCACAAGAAAAATATCCTTATTATTTTTCCAAATAATATTATTCCAAACATTTCACAAAACCCAATAGTTCTATGTATAAAATAAACCTATATTGCTTTGATTTTTTTTTTTTTTTTTTTTTAATTATGTAAAAGGAGTTCTCTAGCCTCTCTCTACTGCATTAACAAAAAGAATAAAAATATTTTCGTTTCTCTCAATTCCGTCATAAATTAACTTCTTGCTATAACGTTTTAGGGTTTTGTTTCTTTAACCATCCTTAGTTTTTGCAAATAAAACAGTAAAATTTGACTATCTACAATATTGCATATTCTCTAGAAAATATCATTGATTTCCCCTAAAATATTATGATTCCTTAAAAAGTTATAACCGATTTGATTAATAAACAATGGAAAAGAAAAAAACAAACAATTACCTGGAGGAAACGGCGCAATGGTCTAGGAGGACCACGAGAGGCATGAGAAGGATGCCATGGAGTTTGTCTCCAAGCGACTTTGGCGTCACTACCGGCACTGATTTTGCAGCCTGAGACGACGAGCTCAAGACACCATAACTCTATCCCCTTCTGCCACAACACAAAGCCTCCTACTTCTCCTCCTCCACTCTTGATACTCCTTGCCTTCACCATCTTGCTGTTCAGGCTTCCTTCTCCTGTGCAGAACTCTGACGCTGTCATCCTCACTTTTCCCATCGCATACATGCTCTCGACCGCGTTTAAAGCCCGATCACCTCCTACCGCTGCTATGTACTGCTTCACTATGTATTGCGCCATCGACATCTCCTGTGGATTTCCAATACAAAAGAAAAAACATTCTTATATCTGATAGCGGATTAGGAATCTGATATCAAAATATACGATCAAGAATTCAAGATATGGCTATTGTTTTTAAGTCAATCACATTTACATGTAAATTTTCATCAAAAAATATATTAGTTTTTTTCATCTAATATTTTTGTACAATTAAATTCAAACATGCTTTTTCCTCCCGTTTAGGTTCCGTTTGTATTGACAAAGAAAATTTGTTTACTAGTAAAAATTGTGGTTTTATAGCAAAATCAAATGAAACTTAGAAATTCATGGCGCAATATAAAATACATCGAGCACTCCGATCCATTTATTGTTAATTGGTTTTGCGATGAAATTTTGTAAGATGTACGGTAAAAAAAGGAAGATTTAAGTACGAGAGGTTGGTCTTTGATGTCTTTGTGAATGGGATTCTCATAATCGTTTTGTTGTTCAGGCTGAACGGGGAGAGGGATCAAAGGAGCCCCAACAACTCCGAGAAGGAGCTGGATCTCCGCGTTGCGACCACCAAAGAGTCTTGTCATGTTTGTGGCTGTTGCGGTTCCGGTTGCAGTGGCGGTGGGTTTTGACCAGTAAGACTTCATTTGGTTCCATCCCGGTTTTGTCTTGGACGCAGCAAATAACTCCTCAGGCATGGGAACCTCGAGGACGGTCTCTAACCCGTCTTCGAGGTTGTAATTCGGACAAAGTTTCCTCATATCCGCAAGAAAAGAAAAAAAAAAAAAATTTGAACGGAGAAATTTAAGCTGAGTGAAGAGAGGGAGGCTATCTGTGGGAAATTTGGATTTGATGAAAACTTAAAAGAGATTGAAATTAGAAAAGAGACATTCGTCGTTGTCACCAACCGACCGGAACGTGGGGAGGCCTTTTGTTTTGTCGTGTCTGCACGCTCTCTCACTCTGCTTACGTCTGTTTATATATATATATACACAACTACACAAGACATGGGATCAAGATATGCTAAGTGCAATATCTATATTTTTCCATTTTAGTTTCATTATAACAACAATCTAATTTTTGTCATCCATTTTGCTAAATATTGTCATATTGCTAACAAAAATTATGACCATATCAACCTCTAACCGAATTGAATATGATACCCTCTTAAAAATTATATTGGGAAAAATGTCAATTAAATGCTGAACTTTTTCATTACGTCGTTTTTAATCCCCAACTTTGCCTGAAACGATTTAAATGCTAAACTTTCTTTGACTTTCCATTTAAATGCCAAACTTTGTTTGACTTTGCCATTTAAGACCCGACGTTAAGTCGATTAACGGAACAATTAAACGCTGATTAAATACCGTTAACAGCTCCTCTTAAATTAAAACGATGCCGTTTTAATACACATAAAGACGTCGTTTTTTGAATTTACAAAACCCCAATCAAACTCATTTGCCCTAAATCGAAAAATCTCCAAACCCATAACCCTAGAAATCGAAAGCTTCAGATTTCTTTCATTCTCTTCTGGGATTTACTCATTCTCTTTTGGATTCATTCTTGTGATTCTCTCAACTTGTTATAATGAGTTCAAGTTCTATAACATCGAACGTTGTCGGAGTCCGTGGTGTGCCGTCGAAGTGTAATCAATTTCTAGGGTTATGAATTTGGGGATTTTTTGATTTGGGGCAAATGAAATCGAATTTGGGTTTTGTAAATTGAGAAAACGACTTCGTTGATGTATGTTAGAAACAACATTGTTTTAATTCAATCTAGCTGTTAACGGCATTTAATCAGCGTTTAATTACTCCGTTAATCGACTTAACGTCATGTCTTAAATGGCAAAGTCAAACAAAGTTTGGCATTTAAATGGAAAATCAAAGAAAGTTCAGCATTTAAATCGTTTCAGGAAAAGTTGGGGATTAAAAACGACGTAATGAAAAAGTTCAGCATTTAATTTGCATTTTTCCCAAATTATATTTGACTAGTTTAATCTTTTTTTTGGACAAAATAATCGTGCAACAAATTTACTAAAAGCAGAGTATTGACCTGTTTGAAATCATACCAAAAACTTCATAGACCTAAGCTACGATCATTCTAACACCCCGTTTTTATATATATAATAGTAAATGTCATTTTAGTTAGAGAAATTGTTAAAAATGCTCCTTTTTCAATACCCCTTTTCAAAAATGCCTCTTTTGAGAGTCCATTTTTAAGTTTGCCCTCTTTTAATTTTTAATGACCATTTTACCCTTATTTGAAACAAAATTAGGTCCACAAAATACAAAATATTTTTTGGCGGGAAAAGTGATCCCGCAATTTTCCCGCCAAAACACTTGTAAAAACCTTTAAAAAACCTTGTAAAATTTTCCCGTAAAAATTTTTCCCGCCAAAAAATTTTCCCGCCAAAAAAATTTT